CGTGGCTTGGTGGGCGTGGCTTGGTGGGCGTGGCTTGGTGGGCGTGGCAGGGGAAGGATACTGCAAAATCCCCATTCCCTCCTTATCTCACTAACCTGCTTTCTAGCTCCGTTCTCCTGTTCAGGGCAGCAAAAGATCAGTTGGGAGGCTGGGAGGCAGCAGGGGCGTGGCCAGCCTGTTTGCCAGTTCTCCGAACTACTCAAAATTTCTGCTACCGGTTCTCCAGAACCTGCTGGATTTCACCCCTGACGTACACATACACTATTCAGAATTGGGCAGCGGAAGTGGTGTATGAGCGCACGTGCGCAGCTCCACTGGCGCATGCAGCGGGCAACTTAAGCGCAGCTCCATCTGTACGAGCAGCAGGTGCACATGCCTGCCTCTCTCACAAATGGAGCTGTATGCACATGCTCATCCGTTGCTTGCATGGAACCATTCCCTCCCCCCATACCAGTCCGCAAAGTTTGGAGATGGCAAGTCCTATTCAGCAGGGTTCCCCAACCTCTGGTCTGTGGACTGGCACTGGGCCCCAGCATGCCAGCAACTGGGACACACAAGCAAGTGAAATCCCATCCATGGGATGTAACCCCCCCCCCCCGATCCATGAAAAAAATCTCTCTCCACAGAATTGGTCCCTGATGCCGAAAAGTTTAAGGCTCACTACTATAACAAGATTTGAGGGAGGCAAAAGCTTTATAGTCTGATTAAAGAGTCTGCTATTTGTTGTCACGAGAGGCCATGTGGCTTGCCTCCAATTACTTATTATTTGTTAGTTTAATATTCCCTCTGGCCTTCAAAAGCATCACGGTGAATAAATAATAAGGAATGGCAAGAAGTCACCGGAGGTTTTGTCAACAAAGAACAGGCACGAAAATGACTCAGTGTGAACATAGGAGAAATGAAATGAAAGAGGACAAAACCCACACCGTCTCATGCATCCCTTCTCACATCCTAGGTTTTAGAGGTTTTGACGGATGGCATGAAATGTTTTATAACTCTAGCAAAAGAGGCAATTGCTGGGAGTAACAAGACCTTTTTAAAATTTCATTTGGAAAAGCCCGGACAACAGAGGACTTCTCTGTAAGGCATAAGTTCCCCTCACACATATGTGCTAGTCGTTCCTGACTCTAGAGGGCAGTGCTCATCTCGCTTTCAAAGCTGAGGAGCCAGGGCTGTCCGAAGACATCTCCGTGGTCATGTGGCATGACTAAATGCCGAAGACGGCCGGAACGCTGTTATTTTCCACCAAAGTGGTCCCAATTTTTCTACTTGCATTTTTATGTGCTTTTGAACTGGTAGGTCAGTGATGGCGAACTTTTTTTGGCTTGTGTGCCATAAGTGGGGGGAACGCAGGGGGGGGGTCATGTGCGGGCGTGCCACACCTATAATGCAATGCGCGACCCCCTCCAGTGCGCATGCACGCACTACAGGTTGCGACCCCCCCTTCCCTGAACCTTCCGGAGCACTTAAAACGACCCTCCGAGCAAACCAGAAGTCCATTCCTGAACTTCTGGATTGCCCATAGGGCCGTTTTTTTGGGTTCCACCACAAAACCGCGTTCGACTAAAGTGCGCTCGACGAAACCGCGTACCTGACGTCATCACAGCGCAACGAAAAAAGCACGCTGTGAGCGCTAAAGCTAAAATTAACCCCTAAACCTAACCCTAAACCTAACCCTAAACCTAACCCTAAACCTAACCCTTAACCTA